CAGACCTGGAGAAGAACCATGGCATTCAAAAGCGTGGCTAAGTCTACGCCAAACACAGACCCTGGTCAACAACACCCCAACCGTGGACCTTTGTTGGTCCATTAAGATATCACCCACACAAATCATAGAATCATAAAGAAGTCAGGCTGGAAGAGACCTTCAGAGGTCACATCTAGGCAAACCCAGGCCCCCGCCGCCAACCATACCAATCTGATCAGGGGTTAAATTCCTTCCTGACCCCAAATAGGGTGATCGGTCTGACCCTGATCAGAGGGGCAAGACTTTCTAGCCAGAACCCTTCAGCTTTCAGTCCCAGCAGGAGCACTGGCACAGCCCAGTTGCAATCCCCACCTAGGCTGCAGCCAACACTCAATGCCCTCTGGGGAAGGGTTAAAAACATCCTTGCCCCTACAAATATTTCAGCTTACTGGTATGTAAAAGTCTCTGTCGCCAATTTTCTTCTCAAATAAAATGCACTGAATTTTACCCGAATTCATGACTTAGATTTGGCCTTTCCTACAACTGTCTTTCCCAGGTGAATAAATGCTTCCCTGAACAATAAATCAAGAAAAGATCCCAACAATGGCGACGTATAGGGGGTGCACATGGGTGCACAAGTACCCCCTGAGATTGGACTCCCTGAAACTGGCCACTGACGATGGTGCCGGCAGAGCCTGTGGGTGGTTGGTGCTTGCCACCCCACCACCGCTGAAGGTGGTCACTGACTGCTGGTCAGAGCTTGCCGTCCCTCCCTCACCTACTGCTAACACCACTGCGGCGGCCTGTGGGCGCTCCCCGCTTGGCCCACCCTTGCTGCTGACATCAGTGTGGCTGGTTGTGGCCGGTCCTCGCTTGCTGCCACCATGTCCCCACTGCCTGCAGGCGGTTGCCGTGTCCCCCCAGCCTCAGGAGGCACGAGGCATTCATGGATCCCAGCCTTCACTCTTCCAACTGATGTGAAGCAACCATGGATTTACATGGAGGTCCCAATTCTCCCAAGGTTGCTCTAGATTTCCATCTCAGCCACAGAGCCTGATTGTCCCTTCCCAGATGCAATTCTCTTGTGCCTGGAGATGTCATTGTCTTTTCTGCTGTCCAGGTGAGGGGCACTGCATTGTCCTGGATCAAAGCAGAGAGATCAAAATGTACTGAGGTGGTGTTGCCTTGGGAGCCATTGTCTTTGTCACCCTGATCATCCCCCTCCTGCTGCTGAAACATAGAGGGACTCATCCCTCCAGCTGTCTCTCCCATGCCTAGGGCATTCACATGACCTCCCAGAGCTTTGGAAGTCCACTTTTTCTCCATTGTACTTCTGCAAGGAGGTTTAGGCACCTTTGAGCTAATTTAATAAATTTCTCTGGTAATCTGATATGACGCTGATGATCTCATTGATTGCTAATTCCTGTCTTATTCACCAGGAACCAATGCCAGGATCTGACAGTGGCAACATCCAAAGGCATTGATATCAGACCCTGTCGTGACCAATTGGCATGGGTGGATGTAGGATTTTGAAAAAGGGGGTGCAGATGGCATGGCACCTTATCACATACAATACAACATATATTTTTCTCCAATTAAAATGAAAATAAAAGCTTTACTAATATGCTAGGGGGCTAGTGCTATATATTCAGTTTAAGATCAAAGCAAAAACAAGTTTGAGTACTGGAATATATCTATGTGCAAGCAATGACCCTGTTTCAGGCACAGGGTTGGACTAGATGATCCCTGGAGGTTTCTTCCAGCTTTACTTCTATATGAATGGGCATAAATTTGCTAGAATGTATAAAGTTAAAAAAAACAACACTACAAACTAGACAAAAAAAAATAGTCAAAGGATACTCTATCATTAGTCCCATAGTCATCATCATTAAATACGTCTCTTATTAATAAAAACAATCCAGCCTTCTTGAGTGTTTTGAAAGTGTCTCCAATATTTCGCTGTCAGTCATTTCTACACCCCAGACAATATGACCACATCTGAATAAAGGTTTCTAGAAAGACCAACAATCTGCAGTGTTGTGAAATAGAAGGGAGACATTTCCAGGATGGGCTAACAGACAGCTACATTGCAGAAGAAAGGATGATTTGAACTGTGGCGGATCAAGAGGATTAAAAAGGAGAGAGGGTTGTTCATACCTGTGGGGCAGAGAGGGATTAGCAGGAATCCCCAGGTAGTTGGTTTTAAAGTGTGGGTGGAACAGAAATCCAAGGCAGGTGTTAACTACAGTGCACCCTCCCTGGATCTGCTCACCCTTCATTTTCACTGCAATACAATCACTGAGCAGGAGAGATTGTGTGACACTGTGGTGTGGGCTCCACCTCTCCTGCCCATATCTGGCCTTCAGCCATGCTGACCTTATGCTGTGGCAGATAAAATTCTGGAAAAAATCCTTTTTTCCCTTCCCCCCCTTCATTCTTCCTTCCCTTGCAAAACAAGATGCAGGTCTTTTTGTGGTGGCATGTTGTATGTGAGTAAATATGGTAAGTGTTGCTGGAGAAAGACAGAGGCCTGCTCAGAGCAGGGCAAGCAAAGAGGGCAATAGGGCCAGTCCAGGGGACATGTGAGGGACAAGATGAGTCTGGCAGTCTCTTTCAGGGGAGAGATGGGTGCCAAATTCCGGGCACCAAATGCTCTTCCAAGGGGTCTACGGTAGGGATTTCTCAGGCTTCTGGGCCTTGCTAGTTGTCCTCTCCCTTTCTTTCTGCTCCTTGCATCAGGATGTTTCTAAGCCTTCCCAAGAGACATTGGGTGCTGCCTGCAGCCATGGCTGGGGACTTTGACTGGGCTGTGCCAGTGCTTCTGCAGAGACTTAAAGCTAGAAGTTCCTGGCTGGAGGGTCTTGCTGATCTGCTCAGGGTCAGACTGATGCCATATTTGAGGTCAAAGAGTGCTACCCTTTAGTCAGATTGATATGGCCACGAGCAGGAGGGAGTGGGGGTTGCCTTCCACTATAGTGGGGCCAGGGGGGCATGGCCTCTGCCTGGGATCTTGAGCATATATTAACAACCTTTTACAGGAGCAGGATGTTGGCTGCTGTAATTCCTCCACTTTCCCTGTGGCAGGTTCCAATGTGATGCCGACTGTTGTGTCAGGGGTGACAGTTGTTTGAGGAAGAGGTTGGATGATGGATTTGTCTGGGATGGTTTGGATGGTGATGATTAGGGACCTGCCAAAATTGCGATTTCGTGATTTTCATAAAAACTGTGATTTCGGGTGGACTCTGTAAAACAGAGCGGGCTCCCTGACCAAAAATAAATGAATAAATAAAACAATTTAGCGAAAAGAAAGTTGGCTCCATCTGGGAAGCCAGCAGTCCTCGTGGCCATTGCCCGCTGGGGGTTGGCGGGTGGGAAGCGGGGCTGATAGGATGGCAAAATGTCCACTACCCGCCTCCTCTCACTGCTGATTGTGGTCCTGCCCCTCTCCACCAATGGATGGTGAGGAGTAGAGCTGCGTGACAGACAGCCCTCGCAGCCAAACAGTGGAGAGGTGGGGCCACCAGGGCCCCTCGGCTAGAGGTGTGTGGGTGTGGGGGGGACGACCCTCTGTGCTCACCCACAAAAATGGCAGCCAGCCCAGTGATCTGCCTGTGAAATCAGCCAGCAGCCACCTCAAGTTCAGCAGATCCCTAGTGATGATCCTACCTTAGACAAGAGGCTGGACTACATGACCTCAAAGAATCATAGAAAATTTGGGTTGAAAAGGACCTCAGAAGGTCATCTAGTCCAACCCCCTGCTCAAAGCAGGGCCATCCCAACTATATCAACTTCTCTTCTCCAGACTAAACAAGCCCAGTTCCCTCAGCCTCTCTTCACAAGTTGTGTGTCCCAGCCCCTGAACCATTTTCATTGCCCTCTACTGGACTCTCTCATAAATTTCATAGATATTAGGGGCTGGAAGGGACTTTGCAAGATCATCCAGTCCAGCCCCCCTGCCACAGGCAGGAAGTCTGCTGGGGTCAAATGATCCCAGCAAGATAAGCATCCAAATGTTTTTTGAATGAGATCAGAGTAGGTGCTTGCACCACCTCTGGGGGGAGTCTGTTCCAGACCCTGGATATTTGGACTGTAAAGTTTTTCCTTATTTCCAGTCTAAATCAGCCTTCCAGAAGTTTGTGGTCATTAGACCTTGTTATCCGTTCGGGAGCCCTGGTGAACAATTGTTCTCCCAGATACTGGTGCACACCCCTTTTTTACTTATAGGCTGCCACCAAGTCCCACCCTGAGCCTTCTCTTGTCCAGGCTGAAGAGTCCCATGTCCATCAGCCTCTCCTCATAAGGCTTGTTCTCTTGGCCTTTGATCACATGGATGGCTCTCTTCTGGACTTTCTCAAGCTTATCCCCGTTCCTCCTGAAGTGGGGGGCCCAAAACTGGATGCAGTACTCTAGCTGTGGCCTCACTAAGGCCGAGTAAAGTGGGAGGATGACGTCCCTGGTTTTGCTTTGGTAGATGCATACCTGTGTTTGGTTTGCTTTGCTGTCTACATCATCGGATTGGTGGCTTCATGTTCATCTTGTGGTCAATCAAGACCCCCGAGTCTCTTTTGGTCACAGTGCTAGCGAGCATAGCACTACTGATCCTGCAAGTATGATGTTGGTTTCTCCTCCCAAGGTGGAGCACCAATTTATCCACATCCTTTCTGTAGTGGTGGGCCCAGAACTGGACACAGGACTCCAGATGTGGCCTCACCAGTGGTGAATAGAGGGGAAGAATTACTTCCCGTGACCTGCTGACAACACTTCTACTAGTGCAGCCCTGGATGCCATTAGCCGTATTCGCAACCAGGGCACACTGCTGGCTCATATTGAGCTTATTGTCCACCATCACCCCCAGGTTCTTTGCTGCAGAGCTGCTGCTTAGCCAATTGGTCCCCAGCCTGTCCCGGTGCAATCTATAGATCTAAAACCATACTCTCTACAAATGTTACTTTTTGACATGTTATTCACTGTTTCCAGGACCATGCCAGGCATAGGCAGATCCAGGATTTAGAAAAGTGGGGTGCTGGTGGCATGGCACATGATGACATATAATAGTTTGTTTAATACATAGCCCCCAGTTTTGGTGGGGAAAGCTACATACTGGAGGCAAGCAAATACAGTATCACAAATCTCGTTCCACAGCTCGTTCCACAGCTTCTCTCTTTAGAGCTGAGATGAGCAACACCGCAGGAAGAATTGCTTTGGTCACAACATGCTTCACGGCATCTGCCAGGTGCTACATTTAGCCACACGTGTGGTTAGGCAGCTACATGGTCTCATATGTTTATCTTGGTTGAAAAAAATAAATAAATAGAGCAAAGCCAGGATGTGTGGTCAGGGCTTGCAAACTAAGCGAGAAGTGAACGGCAGCAAGAAGCACAAAAGGAAACGAGGCAGCTCTGCTGATGCTTCTAAGAAAGGAAAAGGGTCAGATACTTGTAAGAGTTTTGGTGATGATAGGGGTGTAGTTATGCTAAGTTACAATCAAACTAAGGCACTGCAAAAGATCATGGGAGTAGCAGGCTTCGTGAACTGCTGGATGGACTGAAAAAAGATGCAGTGATTCAAAGCAAGAAACAGGAGGTGAACAAATGGAGGAGGAAAAAGAATTCACTAGCAAAGGAGAGAGAACAGGTCACCCGAACCTCACGGGGGACCAGTGCCCGACCCCTGAGCCCTGTGTGGGAGCCACTGGCAAGGAATGAGCTGCAGGTCCCTGGACTTGGCAAATAGATGAATAGAAAGGGACATCTTGACAGAGAGATACAAATTGGGATGGGACAGGGGCCTCTAGGCTATAAATACAAGGGCCGTGACACTTGGCATCCTGTAGTGATGTAGGGTGCCTCTGTTGCATGTCATACATCACTTTACATTGGTCTGGGCAGTTTCACTGAGCCGAGCTGATGGCAGTACAGACCCACTAGCCCAGGGGAGCTCAACCTTGGGCCTATGGGCTAGATCTGGCCCATGGGGTTCCCCACAGGTCCAGAAATCAGGTGGTAGGGAAGTGGTAGCTCAGAGTCACGGATCCAGACCCATGGGAAGCCCTGGGCCCTGCGTGCTGGATCTGGTGCCCAAGCCTAGCATGCAAGGCTAGGTGTGGGTGGCTTCGATCCCCCAGGACTCAATCCTGATATGTGGTGGGGAAGTGGGTATAGCCCCTCTTACAGAGTTGCTGGTGGGACCCCATAGAAAGGCAAGTGATTGTCAATATGGATTCTGTTTGTGTGGTGGTGCTCCAGAGAGATCCAATCTGGTGGGTCTCTGGTTAAAGGTCAACATTTTCCCACCCCGCGCCAAACTGAACTGGTTGAGTATTTCAAACGAGGTTAATGGGGCAGTAATGAAATGACATCACTGGGTGAAGGGTCACCAGGCTAAATTGGCTGAAACGGTTTAAAAAACTGTATTGTTTTCATATTATTATTACAAATAACAATCTAGGTAACATCCAAGACATGACAGATCAAAGTTCACGTTAGGATTTCCAGACAGTCGACCTAATTGGCTGTAGAGGCAGAACCAGTGTGGCTACTGGTTGGCCACTGGATGTTAAAGGTGGGGCAGATACCCCAACTCAAAATCCAACTGGTTCAGAGGCTACAAGGGACACTGTTGGCTAAATTCATATAAGAGTGTCACCTAGGTAAGCTGATTGGCCAAGTGACTTAGAGAGGCTATAGACCAGCAGAGTTCAAAGGTCAAGGTTCATGTACATGCGGAGGTCACGTTCCCAAGCCTTTTCCTTGGCCTCTCGGCGCCGCGCCTCCTGTTTCCCGACTGTTACTGCCCGCTCTGCCCTGGGCCTGGGCTCACTGGGCTGGGCCACGGAGCTGGGGTCATTGGCATCGAAGTGTGTGACCTTCGGCTTGAGGTCACTCCGGAAGCCCAAGCCTTTCTGGTCCCTTTTGAGGATGGTCTGAACGGGAAATCTACGGCCAGAGCCCTCAGGCCCCAGCCCAGCCTCACGGTCCCAACCACCCTTGACCATGAGCTGGAAGCCGACGTTGGTCTCTGGGATGTGGTAGCGGGTCGGGGGCAGTGGGTCGCGGCGGTTGAAGAGGTGGGCAGTCGAGCGCTCGTGGAGTTCCACGGTGTCCTCACTGTAGTGTGCCTGGCACACGGCACAGAACTTCCTCTCCGCCGGCGGTCTCCTGAGGAAGGGACCACGGGGTAGATGTCTCAGAGCTCCAAATGAGGGGTGGGAATGGAGTTAGGTGCCTTTCCCCCTCGGGGGTGCTGGCTCCAATCCAGCCCCAAGGCAAGGGGTGGGGAAGGGGGGGAATGGGGTATGTGCCTTTCACCTCCAGGGGACACAAGACCTGATCTAATTCCAGGATGGGGGTCCTGACTGGCTCTCAGAGGAGGAAATGGGGCACAGAGCCCTGCCTCATTAGGGGATGCCAGGTCTGATCTAGCCCCACAGCAAGGGAATGGGCTGGCTTAGAGGTTGGGTAATGGGCTTTTTACTGATAGACAAACTTTTTCACTGATGCACCTGTTTACTGTCAGTGAAAAAACCTTTTGGGTTTAGCAGCCCTGTGTGACTGCAGCAATGGTTTCACACCACAGGGGTCTCCCTACCAGTGTTCCTTTTAAGCTGTGTGTGCGCACGGCCACGCACAATAAAAAAATCATGCCGGGTAATAACTTTTCAATGCTGCGCACACAGTGGCATACCAGTGGGGGGTGGGGCGGTAGGGGGCATGGCCTCGGGCGCCGGCCTGGGGTGGGACACCCAGTTCTGTAGCAAGCGGGCACCGACACTCCCCCTGCTGCCACTGCCAGCTTTGCATCTGGTCGCTTGCCAGCCACCCCAACCTGGCTACAGGCTGCTGCAGAAGGGGGGAGGGGTGGGCACACTGAGGTACCCGCACACTCCCAGTCACGATTGCTCACAGATCGCCAAACCTTAGAGGGAACATTGCCCCTTACATCCTGGCACCCCTGACTGCTCCTGTCATGCTGCCCCCTCAGTCCCTCCCTCAGCTCTATCCTCACCAGCCCCACTTCCCTCATCCCAGCACAAACCCGCAAAGAATCCCACCTGCAACCCAGCAGCGCTACAGAACAGGAAGGAAGCAGCAGCATGTGGCTAAGGGGAGGGGTCTACAAAATACCAAAAGGTTCACCACAGTGTGTTGTGCTGTGCTCGCACTTGGACACCAGGTGGTACTGCTGTGCTCTGTCCACCCTTGCCTCAAGCTCCACTGTCTAACCTCTTTCAGTGAGAGGCTCAGGAAGTAGCCAGTGCTTGCTTGTTTAAGGGACTGCTCAGTTTTATTCACTGACTTCATGGACAAGCATTTAGCTTGAATTTTTACTGCTAAATAGCTTGAATTTAAAGGCTTGGCATTAAAAATCCAGGCTGCTTTTAAATTCAAGCTTCTAGAATAGATTTTTACTAAATGTCCCTAATTTAAGAACAGTCAGTAAAAATTCAGGGTAAATACATTTGTGTGTAAATTTATGGACACCTGGCAGCCCTGGTCATGGGGTTCTTCCATTCCCGGTACCCCCAGTGCTAATCTACCCCCAGATAACAGGATATGGGGCCTCACCTGGGTTCCCTCGTGGGTGGCCGCGCTGTCTCACACTCCCGCAAGACCTCCACCACGTTCTCGTGGCCAGCTTCCTCAGCGAGATCCATGGCATCCCGGCCCTGTGCTTCGCACACCCCCACCCAGGCGGCCCCCCGGCTCAGGAGGTACCGCACAGCCTCTGCCTGCCCGGCGTAGGCCGCACACATCACTGCTGTCCAGTAGAAACCGTCCCGGTAATTGATGTTGCAGCCTTCCTTCTCCAGCAGCCTCCGCAGGCCCCGCAGGTTGCCCTCCTGGGCTGATCTGAGCAACAGGTTGCCCTTGCGGTCATCCGTCTGGTCTGGTGGCACAGGGGGAGGAGCTGGAGCTTCACGGCGCCTCCGAGGGGCCCTACGTTTCCGTGGAGGGCTCCTGTCGCCGCCGCCGCTGCTGCCCCCAGGAGCCAGGAGACTCTCATAGAAGCTGCGGGCTTCCTCGCCTGCTCCGGGGTCCTCCCGGCGCTCCCGGGCGGAGGAAACCTGTTTCCGGAGCTGCCCATCTTTCCAGAAGTCTGAATCCTCTCGGGCACGGGTGAAGGCAATGAGCTGGACGCCATGGCTCATGGCTGAGGCCAGGGACGGGGAGCAGGCAGGATGATGAGGGTGCACCACGAGACTTCACCCTATAGGAGGCGACACTCGAGGTCAGCTGGTGAAGTTGAGAGACTAGTTTGGGGGTGGGAAGCAAATGAGAGGGGGAAAGAAACAAACAGACTCCGGGTCGTGACAGGGCCCACAGTGGCCAGGGCAGGGCGGCGAGGCGCTGTGGGCCTCCAGCAGATAAGGGGCGAGGATAAAGGGGGAGATCAGAGTGAGCAGGGCAACAGCACCGAGGCAGAGACGTGCCCG